TATATTTGTATATGCATATATATATATATGTATAGAGTCAATGATGGCACTAAAGAGACTGGGTTGCTGTTAAGGAACTTCTGGGTTAGGTTCAGGGTTTAGGGTTTAGGGAAAACGAACTTAGTTCAAGTTGCCATAATGGCGATTTCTATATATCTATCTATCTATCTATCTATCTATCTATCTATCTATCTATATGTATATATATATATATATATCAATCAATCATAATGGATATATATATATACATATATATATATATATTTATGTATGTGTAGTAAAAACGGTTTCCGTCTTATATATAGAACCCTAGTTCAAGTTCCTTAGCAGCAACTCAGAACGTGTCTTTATGTTCCTTAGAAAGCAACCCAGGAGATCTGCGGCGGATGCCAGCGCGCCTGGAGCCGGGAAGGTGGCCTAGGGTTGACGGCTAAGGGTGAACGAGTTTTAGGGTTTAGGGTTTAGGGTTCAGGGTTTAGAGTTAAGGGCTTTGGGAGTGCGAAAGGTTGAGTGCCCATGACTGCAGTCGTGACGAAGAAGTGTTCAACAAACCTGTTCCGTAAGTGCCGAGTTATGCTTCCTTGGGGGGCAAGCAAACCTCTTACTTTGTCACATCTTCCTGCTAATTTGGTGTTTGAGGCTGTTGAACATTTCTTCGATGTTTCTTCCCGTATTGATTGCTCCCGAAGCCATCACCAACACAGGAAGACTTTGTGTGCTGCCTGGGTACTTCCTTCCAGAACCACAGTTTTCTTGCTTCATTTGATGTTTTCGGGGTTTAGGTGAATTTCTGTCTTACATTCTTAGTAATAGTAATGCTATGAATCATATCTGAGCCTGGAGGCCTCCGGAGGCAGCAGCGAGAGTGTCTTTCAGTGCGCCTGAGCGCCAGCCAATATTGAGGCCTGCTTTGATTGCTGAGGGTTTGGGGTTTAGAGTTAGTTTCGGGTTAAGATCTTAGGGTTTATCGTTTAGGGTGCTTCTTAGAACTTTTTATGCCAGCAGGACGCTATATGCCCTAAACCTTAAACCCTGAGCCGGACGTTATATGCCCTGAGACCTGACCCTAAACCCTAAACCCTAAACCCTAAACCCTAAACCCTAAACCCTAAACCCTAACATCAGGTCTAGCCCTCCGGCTCCGGCTACAAGGCCTCTGAAGCAGACTTGGTTCGAACGAGCTGAGGACGGCCCGGGGTTTTTAGTTTTTGGGTTAGGGTTTAGGGTTTA